TTTATGGCGACTTTTTACTTCTACTCCTTACATTTTTACACAAATATCTGTACTTTCTACTCCTTACATTTTAAAAAATTGGCTCATTACTTTAGTTTTGAATCATTTCAATGGAGTTACTGTTATTATTTTTCACGTCATCAATACCAAATTCAATCTAATTGGATGGGAATCTACGTTGCATTTGACGCACCGCTACAAGATGAATCGACAGATTCGGCGGTATTCATTTGCGGCAAATCATTGCAGCTTGGTGGCAGTGGCGTTAGCATAGTAGCATGGACGACAAGATGATTGAAAATGAACACAACGGAGATCTAGTCCTATTGGAAGACATCCATTTAAAATGTAGGCAACGGCATGAAAAAAGTGGTTTCTACTTTTACTTTTATACTTTAGGTAAATTTACAAGCCTGTACTTTGTTACTTTTACTTGAGTAAAGAAGTTTAATCAGTACTTCCACTTTTACCAGAGTATTTTTTAACACAAGTATCTGTACTTTTACTCAAGTATGGAAAGTGAGTACTTTTGCCATCTCTGGGGAGCGGTTTGAGATTCAGCCTCTCTCTGTCTTCTGTGTGAAAGAAAAAATCCACTTTGAGTGTGTTGCTGCCACTTTAAGTTCAGGAGTGAGAACGTGAATGTCTTATTCCGGTTAAATGAAACATGACCAAACTGAGTGACTCCAAAATTTGAAGATTTTTTTAGTTAAATTATAATTATATTCAATTGCAACGATTTGCCTGACTATAGTTTCTGAGCAAAGGAGACCAAACATCACCCTAATTCAGCATTCCCATGCTCTAGCATGGTGGTGGCAGCATCATGACGGGTGGAGCTAAACTTACAGTCTGAGATTGAGCTGGAGGTCCATCTTCCAGAAGAACCAGGCACAACCAGGCACTCAGCTAACATTTGTAGGAATGATCAACTTTAAGACAGCGAGTCCCTGAACTTTATAGAACAACTGGGAGCAAATAGATCATCTAAATCTGAGGACATTTTGGACCCATAAGAACTGGGATTTTATTTTTAAACCTGGACTTTCAGAAAACGTTAGGTATTAGAGATATTTAAGTTAACAAGTATTTTGAATTTCCTTTTTTCTCTGTTTATAACAAAAACTGTTTAGTATGAATCTGTTTGGATAAATCTGCTGAACTGTTTTTTTTCCCTCTAAAATATAAATCTATGAATTTTTGTAACCTTTTATTTTTTGTTGTTGTTATTCAAGAGATGTCTTAATTAATTTGTTTGCTCTGTAACTGTTTCCTTTTCGTTGCAAATATTTACACATGGTTATTTTTTTCCTTCACAGCTTTGTTTCTCTAATTCTAAATAATTCTAACCCAACATTCTAATTGAGTATTTCTCATTAAAAAAACAAAACAAAATCTTTAAGAATTTTTAAATCCATTAATCATTTTTTTCTTCAGGGTCACATAAAAATGTCAAATAAACTAGTGGGAGCTTGTGGCCCTGAATCCTCTGTTATTCCGCTTTTTATTAATTAAATCTATGATAATTATGTTTCATTAAAGATTAAAATGAAGATCTGGACTCTAAGCAGCCCTTCTTTATGCTCTTTTTGGTTCTGGTAAGGAAAAGGCAAGACTGATAATTTGGAGATTTAATATCTTAAAGATCCAAACCATTACTGGGCCAAAATAGCTCACACCTGGTTCTGGTTCAGAATCTGCCTGATTGACATTTAATAAAATGTGATTCAGAGGAGAAACAGCTGCAGGGAGGCGAGCTGGATGTGGTGTTAGCAGACAGTGACCTTCCCAGCAGACGTGTCACATGTCCTCTTTGCTATCAAAGCTCCACATGAAGCATAACTGCAAGTTCAGAGTCCAGAGGGGGTCAGAAATGCTCTGCTTCACGACTTCTCCCCCTCTAATAAGGATGTTTTTATTATATGTATCAGAGATTTTTCATAACTGCAGCATCACTTTGAGAATTCATTGTGCAACAAAAAGAAAATAATGTCAAAAAGGCAGCAGCAAAATAATCAGACGACAAGCTGAAAATAAAACAGATAAAAAGAACTATTGGCTTAAGCCATGAGGTCAAATCTACGGAGCCCCTCTGATGACATGGTCAAAAAAAATGTTTAATTGTGGCCACGAAATAGCATTTTGTGCGCACGTTAAACTTATTGCGTGGCCACGAAGTAGTATTTCGCGGCCACGCAATAAGTTTAACGTGCGCACGAAATACTATTTCGTGGCCACGCAATAAGTTTAACGTGCGCACGAAATACTTATTAATAATATCAATAAATCCGCCCCTGTTTTCAGGCTTATGTTAACTGTAATGACTTATCTTGGACAGGCTGCTATGTAAACGGGCCTTTAGTCCTTCGTTTAGCTATGCTGCGGTTGTTTACACTACGCCTTTTCCACCTAAAAGCGTCTTAGCAACAAATGTCACGTGACTGGCGGAGACCGACTGGGTAAGCAAATCGAGCGCGCCTTAGACCTTAGAGAAGGCACGCTCGATTTGCTTACCCAGTTGTCCAGGAATGATATTAATATTATTAATAAGTATTTCGTGCGCACGTTATACTTATTGCGTGGCCACGAAATACTACTTCGTGCGCACAAAATACTACTTCGTGGCCACAATTAAAAATTTGTTTTGACCATGTCATCAGAGGGGCTCCGTACAAATCAGACAGCGACCTTACTGAGAAACTGGGAGGCTCTGGGTTCACACATTTAGGCTCTGCATTGTCTGAAACCAGAGGACAGGAAATGAGCAGGTTCAAACAGACACTGGGCCCAGTTCTGAATAACCTGCCAACATCACCCTTTTTGAGCCGCACAACCATGAGATTAATAATTGAATGGACGGAATATTGAACATTGGTTGGACCAGGATGTAGGATTGGTAAAAAGTGCTTACAGATTGTAAACTGGCACTCACTACCAGAGGAGAAGAGTTAAAGGACATTCTGGGCCCCCTGAGATCCGATATTATGCTTTCAAACCCCCACAGTCGGCTCAGAACAAGCTATCTGCACATTCCTCTGAGTTTTGAAGGTGAGGCCTGGACAGCTTTTACAAATACAACCGCTGTCCGTCTCCTGGCTAGACTATCATCCATTGACATCCTAAGCTTTTGCTGACCATTTGACGCATCTCAACTTTCTCACTACAGAGATCAAGATATGTAGGCCTACCAGGTCTGGCAGTGACAGGAAAAGTGTTAGAGCTAATAAGTGATCCCATGCTAGGGTGGCCAAGATGTTTGGCTCTAGGCCCGACAGTCTGGATTTTCATTGCATTGTCCAGCGTGCGGCGCCGCATCCAGCCCATTTTTGCTGATGCAGCCCAATAACCAACAATATAATGTTAAAATATGCATCGACTACTTGGTCTAACAGATGATTGGCTAAGAGGGGGGCCGTGTCAGATAAATATCTGCTTGACATTGGTTAAAAAAGTAAAGACGCTTTGCTTCTCATCCTGAAAGCTTTTTCAATTCAAAATATCAGGAATAGCGTTGACTTCAAGGTTTTATACAGCAGCTCAACAAAGCCTTGTTTTGTTTTGAAAACTTGCTAATTGGAACAGACCAAGGGGTCCAAATGACACTTTCTTATATACACCTTAGTAATTTATTGATATGATGCCTTATGGTCCTCCTTTTTGGTGATCACATGCTACCCTATCGCATGCCAATACCAATGCCAGTCAATCCAGACACTAACTGTAACACCTGTAACACTCAGTAAGGGCTTAAACTTAAATTTTACATGAAGATTTATGTGTTTTCTGAGCCAATCTTTACATTTGACCGCTAAAGTGAAATGGGTTCCCTCTTGTCTGTTCCCCATTACCTTGTTTGTCTGAACATAGCTTTATTCCAATTTGCTTTATTCCAAATTTTTTTTAAGATAATCTCTGGTTCTCAATCCTACTGATAATGGTTTTCAAACATTTTCATTTGCCTTTTTAAAAAAAAATCTTATTACATATGTGTGCAAAGTTAAATGTTTGACCAAGATTTGACCTTAAATCTCAATTATATCTGTTGTCCTAGCACACAGCCAGCTGGGTTCAAAAACAACAGTCAGAAATGTATTTGATTATATATTAAATAACATTACCACATTCAAGTGTACAAACACCTTTATGCATATATGGATGATGGATTGATGGGTTGATGAATGATGCCTCGATGGATGATGGACGTGTTAGGAATCCATGGATGATGCATGGATCGATGTATAGTTGTATAGAGGATGGATGGGTGGGTGGGTGGATGACGGTTGGATTGATGGATGGATGGATGAGTGGATGGATGATGGATGGATGATGCATGGATGGATGGATGGATGAGTGGATGGATTAGTGGATGGATGGATGAGTGGATGGATGATGGATGGATGAGTGGATGGATGATGGATGGATGATGCATGGATGGATGGATGGATGGATGAGTGGATGGATGATGGATGGATGATGCATGGATGGATGGATGGATGGATGAGTGGATGGATGATGGATGGATGATGCATGGATGGATGGATGGATGAGTGGATGGATGAGTGGATGGATGATGGATGGATGATGCATGGATGGATGTATAGATGTATAGATAATGGATGGATGATGGATGGATGATGAACCTTTTCTCAGAATGGGGGGAGATTGTTGGGACACATATGTAGCAGTAAACCCAGACTGTCAACCCAGAGTTGCAGAGTCTTCCAGGGTCAATCTTAAAGTAAATGACAAAATCCAAGGACCAAGAACATAAAGGGACCCTCAAACAGAGCCTTGGGGAATGCCGGATAAAAAGGTGAGTGGATGTGACTGTCTTCTATGCCAGCGTCAGTAATATGAGAACGGAACCAAAAGTAACATGTGTGCAGAGCTAATGACTGTTGTCCAGGCACCAGGAGATGTTTATTGTCATGTCTTCTTTTTGAGAAAATGCATTTCTGCTGCTTTGCCATAAGTTGCTCTCCACTGCAGGAAGTACTCACCGGGCTCTAAGGGAGCTGACTGTAGACTTATCAATCCTGCAGAGAGACAGAGAGAGAACATGATGTTAATGGATGCTGCTCTCCACTGGTTCTGATAACAGGCAGAAGAGAACAGAACATCACTGAGGAGCAGTAGGGGATTTACAGCTGCGCTCTTTATTAACCTTAGTAACCTGGAAGGGTGTGATGGAGGAAGGTGTGATCTCAGCGCTTCATAGCAATAAAAACACGTTTATTAAAGCGCTGCCGCTACCATACATCACACATGTGCTTCTGAACTGAAGGAGGAAGACATCATAAAGCACAAGGAAATGAAATGAGCGATGTGGATCCTCCAGTGACCGGCTTGATCAGGAAAAAACCTCAGTGTTCCACCAGTATGTCAGCTATCATTTAACACATAGGAGGAAGTCCTCAATATTTACAGCTGCATGTTCTGAACCAAATGATATAAAAAGTAATATAAGGAGTCATAAAAGGCCTTTGTATTATAATTCATTTATGTAATATAAATCCCTTTATTTGCCCCACAAAAAGGGGAAATTAATTCTCTACTGCTCCTACTGCTCCCAGTAGGCTGCCATTGTGCGGCACCCATGGAGCAGTGTGGGGTTAAAGGTCTCGCTCAGGGACCCAGATTGGAGGCTGTGGGGGTGGAACGGGGTTCTTGCAACCTTCTCAGAGCGTACTGCTCTAACCACTAGGCCAACACTAGTGCATTTATGACCAATCCTAACCCCAAACATTACCAGTATAATCCTAAATGTAAACTTAAAGCACGACTCATCCCTGAAACGCCCATTGTTTGCAAATAAATTTGAATTTGAATCATCCCTCAATTTCACTGAGTGTAGAAATAAAGAACTGTGCAGTGCTTTCTGCCTGGTTCCCTGTTGGAGTTGAACTGAGCGAGAAATGGGTGACTGAGCTATTTTAAGCATAAATAGAACAATAAAGCCAGCTATTCATAGAATTGGTTCACTGTGTTTTCTTTAGATCTATTTATCTAGATCTATCATGGATCAGAGTTTAAATATTTATTAGTTTTCAGTCTACAGACTGCAAATTTAGCCTCTTGCTTGTAAACCGCACTTTGCTTTTCATCAACTGACCTTCTTCATGAACGATCTGCTCTGCCCCAGACTGACATGGAGTCGGTAAAAATTGAACAGTTGCGTATATTAGAGAAGCAGTCAGCGCCAGTGCAACTGGAGTGCTTCTGAGCTCCTGGAACCTGTATGACTGGAGTTTCTGCGATCAGCTGCAAAGGCTGCAAAGTAGCGACTCTAACCAAGAATTCCAACATTTAAATATTGAGATAGAAACAGCAGATTTTTGAATAATGAAATAGGGTGCAGACGTTCGACTCGCTCTTTCTCAGTGCCCTTGGTTTAAACACTTAATAGTCAGGTTAAACACTTCACCAGAAGCCCTATTGATGGGAATCAGAGGACCAGCCGCCACCTGTCTGCCTGTGTGCCTCTCGGCAGCTTTATAACCCCAAAAGAGGCCTGCTTTTGTGTCTAAAGCCGTCTGTTTGGTGCCCTCCTGAGGTTTAACCCTTGATCCCTTGCATAGCCCTTACAAATGGAGTCGCCCCCCCTTCCTCAGTGAGGTCTAGAAGCACAAGATCTATATCCATCTATAGCCATTCAGCAAAGATACTGCTACGTGGCGGTACATCTTATTTTGGCATTTGACCAATTAGATGAGCCCTTCAATTATTTATTACCTACTGTAAATTAAGTTGGAAAAAAAAAGTTAACAAGTTAAGAAAAAAAAGGTAAAAAGCTAAATAAAAGTAAAAAAATTTAAGTTTAAAAGTTAATAAGCCTAGTTAACAATTATTTTTAGGTTTATAAACTAAAAAATGTAAGTAACTGTATCAGCATTAATGCCTCTAAGGTTATGTTGTACCAAACAAAACAAAAAAAAACTGAGTTTTTTTTCCCCAAGAATGTCTTATAGAAGCACTTTTGTTATTTATCTTAATATGTTCGGGCAAGTTGCATGTATTTCACTGAGTGCCCTATAAAGGGTTAACAGGTCTACAGCATCTGATCCAAATCAGTATTGGCTCTACAGTTATAGTGATGTCAAGCAGAAAACCTGACATTAGCTCTAGTTGTGGGTTAAAACATACTTTGTCTCTGTTGGATTGAGTCTAAGTTTAGCGGCTGGCTACCTCAGGTGGTGAGTCACCTGACTTGCACACAGGAGGCGAATTCCCACTGGGAGGGATGAGCTGCCAGTGTGGGTCCTTAGGCACGATCCTTGATGCTAATGCCTACGTCATTGTAACATTGTGTATACTTTGTAAGTCGCTTCGGATAAAAGCATCTGCTAAATACCCAAACATAAACATAACAGTGGCGGCTGGCCAATAGAGGGCGCTAGGGTACCGACCCACCAGCCCAATGACCTTGATTAAAAACAGATAAAAATTTTTCGAAATATATTTATATATATTTTTTCTATCTGCAAGATAAATATTTAATCTTTAATGAAGACTAAAGCATCATTCATTCATTTTTCATCAGATTGGTGACATATTTCCATCCTAGGGAGCAAAAATGTTTGCTCTTGGTTTCTCGTTAAAAGTTCTAGATGGGCAGTAGCTCCTCTGCAATTAAAAGGTGTAGGAGAACTCAGGGTGCAGCTCTGGTGCACCTTGAGGTGACAGAAACTGTCCTCACAGTTGTTATGCGGGTGATTGACAGGCCAGGTTGTGGGAGGGAAGAAAACTTACAAAGAGAAGCTGGAGGTGAACATTTTTGGACCTGATCAGCCGAACAACAAAATTAATCAGCGGTCCAAAAGACATTTGGAGACGGTACACTCTGTTTTTTCCTGGTTTAGCTACCAGGCTTGGTAAACTGCATGCAGCGAGGCTAAGGCTTTATTCTGCTGTCTTGACTGCCTGCCCATTTTTTCAAACATCAGGATCTGAACCAGCATGGATAAAGACAAACAGGACTGATTTAAAGCACTTTTATACTTTTTTTTTAGAAAAGCCAAAGAAGAATGAACAATCTGGGATTTACATGGAAAATAATAGAATATAGTGTATTTTTTCTAGATGTTTGTTAATTTGCATAGCTGCTTTTAACTAAACACATTCTCTGAAACAAATAGTTTTTATATATCAAAAAGTATAAAGCTGACTAATAGCTTCTCCATTATTAAACTGGAACATTATTTTTTAGGTTTGTGACACAATACTGGACCATGCAAAACACAGATTTATCTTCACAAAGCCTCAGAAGGGCAACATTTATATACAAAAAGTAAACATGTACATGAAATTATGTTTTGTTTTAGATTAAGTTTTCTTTTTTTTTTCCATTTTTTTGTTGTTGTTGGTACTCATATAAATATACTGGTGTGAAAACTCAGTATACGTTTCATTGGTTGTTGGTATACGTCTATTTTCAATTTAAAGCCCCCCTGGAGAAAACTCCAAAATGCTATCACCAACCAATAGCCATCTGTCCCTCCTCTTTGGTCGGGTTCTTCAGGCATCTTGGTTGCATCAATGGCCTCAGGAACCTCTAGAGCCAGTGATTCAAACCGATTTGACTCCGGCTGCTGGCCTCCTCCACAGAACCATCTGTCTCTGGTGAAGGCGGTGGAAAGAAACCCAACAGCTCCATGACAAAACTATCAATCCAGCAGTAAATCAGGACCAGCCTTCATCCTCCTTCCTTGGTCCTTCAGGCAGCTCGGTGTAACAGGATCACTTTACTTGACCTACATTGGGAGTTAACAGGTGATGCTGTAATTATATTTGCTCACAGCTGAATGTCTCAAAAGACCCACTTGTAAATGTTCACATTAGCTTTTATTATCCTTTCCTTCCCGGTTTTCTAATCCAGAGGCATTAGTCTGCAAGACTTATCAGAACAGACATTTAGGAAATATGATCTTCTGAAGTTTAGTTTTCCGTTTTTCACTCCACATGTAGAGCTTTATCTGAGCTGAGTCCACGTTTCTGATCAAATTTAAAGGAGAAGCATTGCTGCAGGAGGCAGCAGCATCTAATGGTGGGGCAGGGGGTTTAATATAAGATGTACCCTTGTCTGCCCTCTGGCTCCTCCTGCATTATTAAAGACATCAACTCTTTTAGTCTAAACTCTGGGATGAAGGAGGGATGACAAGGAAACTGGAAAAACAAGGTTAATTGGAGGAGCTGAAGATTATAGGAGGGACACGAAGGAAGGAAAGGAGGCAATGAGGATTTAGAGAAGGACTGAGCAAAGTGAAGATGATAAAATGAGGAAATGACCAAGACGAAACAGAAGGAGGGGAGAAGAAAGAAGGTCAGTGGAGCTAAAAAAAATGTCTCACACTGAAAAGGAATCTGCAGACTCTGTTGAGTATTCATCTCACACAGATTCAGTGAGAGCTGCTTTAAATTCATCCCTTCCCTTCCTCCTATCCAGTCATCCACAACCCGACAAAAAACATGTCAGCCTGACGTGACACAAGAAACGGCAGAACAGAGTGAGCTACATTGCAACAGGAGGAGGTGACACGCAGCTACAGGGCAACGGGGGAAACGAAAAAGAGCATTAAGAAACTCAAACATGCTGTTAATGTTGGAGAGAGCACCTCAGTCTGTATATCAGGGCCCCCGCCTCCATGGGGCCCTAAACAAACACCTGCTGATAACCTATTGTTCCCTCATCAGTTTGTGTTACTACTAATAAAATAATCTAGTATGCAGTTTATTTGTTTGGTTTAGAATTTATTGGCTCCAAAAGAATAACTTTGATAAATAAAAGTAGTAAAGAGACAGACATGATTAAATTAAACAAAAAGATCAAGCCGGTTCTTAATGGAGATAAAAAGTTACATGAATGCAGGTAGAAAATGAACTAATTTTGAGTTAAATTTTTTTAAACTATAAATGACCTTTACCCAAACACATGATTGTTATGCTTTACTGTTTTATTAAGTATTCCAATTCAGGGCTTTTTGTTGCCACAAGCCTGTTTTTAACCTGCCAAACTTTTTTTAAGCTTACAGGTGAGTAA